GTAAGACAAATAAATCATAACCATTGTCAGTCCAGGGAAGATAAATCTCCCTGAGAAGTTCTTTCCTTTTTGTTTTTCAGAAAATGAAGCCTAACATGAGATTCCTTTGGAGAATAATCGCTCTATATAACATAGTGACAGTCTATGCAGGTTTTGGTGACCCTCATAAGGCAAGAGAATTATTATGAAAACAATACGGCCAGCCTTGTGATTGCAGAGGGGGACAGGTAACTGAACCTCCGTCAGACAGAATCACCCAGGTGACTTGCTCGGGCAAGACAGCTTACCTAATGCCAGATCAGTCATGGAAATGAAAAGTGTTGTTTTTACGCCAACAAATCCGGAATCGTCAGAGATAAGATAAAGACTTTACAGGAAGAACTAGAAGAGCGCAGAAAAGGTCTGGTCGCTAATCCCTTGTGGACTGGACTCGATGGACTTCTCCCCTATCTCCTGCCATTTCTTGGTCCTTTACCTACTCTTCTACTCTTTCTCACTCTCGGGCCTATAATCTTTAATAAGCTTATGGCATTCGTCAGACAACAAATCGAGGCCTTCCAGGCCAAACCTATACAGGTCCATTATCATCGCCTTGAGATGACTGAAAATGGTGAGTCTTATTTGCCTTAATAAGACCACCTCCCCTGTGTGCTGAACTGGACAGTCAATGACGGGTAAGAGGACACTATCTCCATCGGAGCCTAAGACAGGAGGGCCGCCCTTGCTGCTGCCTTATCCCATGACGGGCCTAGAAGGTGGGGATGAGTTGACCCAACCTAAGACAGGCGCAGTTCCCGAGGGGTCGTTTTCTCATCATAAAATAATTAAAAGGGGGACCTGTCCGGAGCTGCACGCCCCGGCCATAGCGAATAATAACTGACGATTAAAAACGCCTGAGCTATATTCATTTCCACCCCACACCTTCTCCCTATCTTTGCCTTTTTTCCCTGTATTAATACCTCATAAAAGATGGCGCTCTTCCTGCTTCTTCTTCACCTATTTTTCCCGCGCCCGCGAAAATTACTACCTGACAGCACAGGTGCAACATGACGTTCGACCAGAGAAACCAATACCTATCTGGCCACGCCTCCACTATGAGATCATTTTCGCCTTGGCCCAACCCCTTTCCCTCCAAGTGTATATAAGGCACTGCATTACCGCCATTAAAAGAGACTTGATCAGAGCACTGTCTTGTCTCCATTTCTCGTATCTCTTGTTCCCCAAATTCCCACCCCCTCCTCCAGGGCCTGCTTCGACTATCCCGCGGGCCGGGAGAGCAGGGCTGTTTGCTTCCGGGTGGCACCTTTAGGAGCCGGGCTCTGTGGCCGCGCGTGCCGGTGCCCGTGTCTCAGGCCCTGGGGGTTCCCCTGCCTCCCGGGTGACGATGTGGTTCCCAAAGTCTCCGCATCTTCCAGGGAGGGTGTCTGTGCTGCCGTGGCCCAGCCCAGATGGAGCCGCCATCTCATCACCAGCCCCCAGGGCCCCTGGCCCGGTCTCCCTATCTCTGTGGCACCAGCTGCTACCCACGGATGCAGTTGGTTCAAGTGCTTATCACCCCCCAGAGCAATTCCTGAGGGCAGGGCCTCCCAGCAGTGCCCCCCACCCAGCCCAGTCTGGGAAGGTCCACTCGCTGCTTGCACGGGAGCCTTGTTTGGGGAGATGGGCTTGTGAGGCTCTGACGAATGCCCTCAAGACCCCAAGCACGCGCTGCAACCATCTGTCCACCGCTCTGCGAGTCACCGGCTTCTCTCCCTTCCACAACGCGGGGAAAGGTCCCCACGGAGGGCCTGAGTCCCTGCAACCGACCCCCGCTTCTGGTATTAGCTTGTTCTGGGCTTCGGCTATTACCAACAGCTCAAAGCAGGAATCACTGGCTCAAAGATTATCAGAAATTTTTAAATAAAAAGATTATTTTTAGGCTCAAAGATATTTTGAAAGGAGAGAAAGCAATGTCTCAAGACACAAAGAACTGAAAAACTGCCCCACGGTGTGCCAAAATTGCTAATCCTAGAAAAACCAGCGACTCGGGAATATTAATTTTCAAACAAATAATTATTTTAACAAAATTGCCAGGTGGAACGACTCGCTTCCGACCACATCTAATTTGGTAAAATTGCTTTGGCCCAGTTGCCAGAGCCTTGGCAGGAGCCAGGCTAAGGCAGCTGGGCCAGCCGTGGAGGGGAGCGCGGCCGAGCCAGGCAGGGCCAGGCGGCACCAGGCGGCAGGTGCGGTCAGACGGAGCAGGTCCCACGGGAGGGCTGGGGCTTGAGCTGGACAAAGGCTGGGCCATCAGGTGGGCAGGACTGCAGGGACCAGGCCTACTCTGGGGAGCACCAGGGACAGCTCCCAAGCTGCGGCCGGCTCTGGTCCCCAGGGAGGGGCTGGCTGCACCACGGGCCTGTTCAGAGTCCTCCAGGCCAGACGCCCTGGGGACAGCGCCTGGGCTAACCCTCGAAGACACGCCAGGGCTGTGGGTGAGGCGGGGAGGGCTTCACGAATGTCAGGACAGTGCGGCCCGGGGGTGAGCCGGAGGCAGGCAAGGGTGTGGTTGGGAGGGAAAGCATGCTTGGTCCTTCCTTGGTGGTTCAGGGACAGTATTATGGGGCCGCCTGCTTCCTCCTCACTGGACCTGCCCTTTTGCCTAAGCAGGATCCAGAGGGCCGCGGTGGGGGCTGGGCCCCCGTCCTTCCTGTGACCACGGCCCAGGGACGGCTGGCCGGAAGGGGACGGCGTCCCAGCCCCGACAAAGCAGGGACGGGGCCAAGAAACGCCCCAGAGTCACCCCCACTCCTGGGAAGACCCCAGCGGTGGCCTCGGCCCCGGAGGGACCAGAGGTGGCTCCCGGCCCTGGAGGGACCAGAGGTGGCTCCCGGCCCCCAGGGCTGGAGGCTGTTGTGAAAAGCAGGTCGTGTGGCTGATTATTCAGGTCTGGAAACTGGAATTGTCTCTAAAATGTAAAACCATCTGGACACTTGGCTGTTTCTGTTTGAGCCTTTACCCCACGTTGAGATCAGGGTAGACCCGGGAGCCAGCTGGGCCGGACGCGTGGCTCTGACACAGGGAAACCAGAGCCGCAGACAAGTCCCACGTTGAGATCAGGGTAGACGGTCTTGGAGCCTGCTGGGCGGGCAGCACCGCTCTGACGCAGGTAAGCCGGAGCCGCAGACCTGGATGTAAAAGCCCCATGTTTACAAAGCTTCCCAAGGACCCATGTTAACTTCTGAGCCCGCAAGGAATCATCCGCATGAAATCGGGGGTCTCAGCGTGCTCCCGCATCTTGGCGAAGATGGTGTCTGGTGGCTGTGGGCTTCGCCATGCGACTTTGTGGACGTTAAGGGGCAGGAGCGCGTGCGTGTTGCTGGTAAGGTCGGCCCCGCGGCTCTGTGGTGTCTCTCATCGCTCCCTGTGATGAGCCCTCATTACAGTTCCAGGCTGCATGTGACGGTTTCTGCGGCAGTTCATAGGAAGCGTCCTCACCCCACATCTGTGGCCGGGTGCCCAGGCCGCGTGTCAGCCCTGGGAGGGGTGGACAGAGACTCACGTCAAACACTCCTGAGCCTGCCTGGAGCAGCCACAGTGCTTGGGGTGCACCAATGGGAAGCCCTCCTTGGTCTGCTGAACCCCAACTCCTTGTAGAGGGCTCGGGCCTCACCAGGGCTGCCCTTGTGAGTCCAGGGCCGTCAGGGGTGGAGGAGAGCATCAGGAGGGCACGCTGTGTGCTGGTGGGCCCCCCGAGATCATCCACCCACAGAAGCTATGTTCTCATTATCAACACGCCCTCTGGCAGGACCCCCTGGAGACAGAGCTTCCTCGGCAGCACCAGGCGCTACAACCAAACCCAGGCACCAGGCAGCCGGCAGCAGGGGCCGCGCTTGGATGCAGCTCTACGCGAGGATTTTGTCCCTGGCACAGCCACTGGCAGGCAGGGACACTGTGGGTTCCCAACTACTGTGGCCTGGTCACATCCGCTCCCTTCCCCAACTCAAGTGTCCAGACAGAGGCCAGGGGAGCTCCTGGGCTGCAGAGGTTTTATCCATCAACGCGCAGCTGAGGACGTCAGAAAGCCATGTCTGGGGTGGGGCCTGTGGGGCCGTGGGGAGAACCGGTGAGGGCGTGCCGCCCCCAGTGTGTGAGCAAAGCTGCAGCACAGCCGTTGCCCCAACAGCCAAGTGCACACCTGCCCCTCACACTCCCCACCCCCGACACCTGCGTGGCTCCCCTGGCCTGCAGAATGAGCAGAATCCCACACCCATCCAGCCCTCCCCACCGGATCCCAGACTGCCCCAGGTGCTCTCTGCCTGGGTCCTGGGTGGGTTCAGTGAGCGAGGAGGCCACGTGACTCCTCCAGGGCCACCGGCAGGAGCCAACAGGAGCTGTGGGGGCCCCAGGCCACACCAGGGACCCCAGGACCTTGTAGGATCGGGGTTCTGCATAGGGCCTCCCTTCCCAGGAACACCCACTCAGAGCCTCCTCCTGCCTTCTTTCAATACTCTCCACAAGCCTTCAGCAAAACCAAGGTTCACAGCTTGGAGAGGGGAGGACTTTATGCCTTTTCCGAAGAGGAGAAGGTACCTGAGGCCCAGCGGGTAGAGGCCTACGAGACCCCACAGCCTTGGCCTGAGGTGGGCATAGGATGCTGAGACAGAGCACACCCCTCACACAGCCGGAACCCTGATCCTCAGAGTCCGCCCCACAGTACAGGCTGATGGAACCCTGCAAGCCTGGATGCGTGTGCCAGGGCCTTGCACTGGACACAGAGGCCTGGCCGAGGCACCTTGGACGCAGGCCCTGTGCAGTGAGGCCTTCCAACGTAAAACCCACCAGAGGGGCTCATTCTGCAGGGGACCCACAAGCGCCAAAGGGCCTGTTCGCCACACGTGGTGGTCAGTGGAGCCACGTGAGGTTCCCCAGGGCCTCCTGCCTCCGAGGGAGACTGTGCTTGCGCTGCGTGCTCTCGGGGGCTCTGCTGAGTGCTTAGTAAAGAGGCAGCAGCGAGAAGATTTTAGGTTTGTTAATTTTATTATTTGGTTCTCAAACGAGGCTTCACCTCAGGGTAAGCACGAATCTGTTGGCTTGAATCTTGGCTAGGAATGGTCTGCACAAATTCAAATTGACGCTGGGGGGAGACGGCTGGTTGCCGTGGCAACCAGAGAGCCGTTTTTAATTCCGCTGGGTGAGTGGCGGCTGCTGCGCGCTGTCTCGGGAGGACGGTGGCCCTGGGTCCCGCTCTCAGCGGCCAGGCTTCCCACCCCCGGAGGCCGCCATTTCCTCTCTCGGTGGGCTTCTAAGTTCAGGCTCTCAGAGTCCCCACCAAATGCCTGGAAACGAACACTCTCAGAAGTGTTCCAAAAAGAGGCAGGTCCTGCCCGAGACACCAGTGACATGAGGCCATTGTTGCTCCAGAGTTCAGTGATCACAGCGAGCTCCGCACGCGAGTCCCCAGCAGCCACGGCCCTCCAAACGCGGGGCTGGGGAGGGGCTCACCACCGGTGAGGGAGGACGGGGCTGGGGGCTCACGCCTGGCGAGGGAAGACGGGGCTGGGGAGGGGCTCACCCCTGGCGAGGGAGGACGGGGCTGGGGGCTCACGCCCGGCGAGGGAGGACGGGGCTGGGGAGGGGCTCACCCCCGGCGAGGGAAGGCGGGGCTGGGGGCTCACCCCTGGCGAGGGAAGGTACCCATCACCATCCTAAGCCTCCTGCGTCGGCCTGACCTCCAGCTCTGTTACCCTGCCTGAAGCAGCGTCATCCCTGGGACTGTTTCCTGCTCTCCCACAAACAGCCTGCAGATCCCAAAGCCACAAGATGTGGAGACGCGTGGTCCCCTGGCTGAGGCCTTGCAGGCAACACGGCCCACTCTCTGGGTAGGGGTGGGCCCAGCCCCCATTGTTCCTTCCCTGCAGAGGCAGTAGCCGCAGCTCAGGCCCTGAGGTGGGACTGCGGCAGGAGCAGGTGGCCACCCACGGGCACCCCACATCTTGTGTCCAGCAGGATCCCCTCAGAGGGAGGAAGCCCACATCCACTGCTAAGAGGGCCGAAGGCTCCTGGGAGGAGGCAAGGTTTCGGCCACGGCCCCAGCATTTCGGAGGAGGTCCGAGTGGCCTCCCCAGTGAATGGGGCCAGGTTCCCCAGTTAATGGAACCCCAAACTGACCTTTCCGGGAGGTAGGCAGAATCGCAGAGCAGTGGGAAGGGCTGGAGGGTCCCGTGCACCCGAGACCCTGTGAGCTGGGGCCTCGGATGCCAAATAAATGACAAAGCCCTCGAGAGTTGCCTCAAAAGTGGGGTTCCCCGTGCTGTCAGGGCAATGTCCAGCAGCTGTTTCTTTGGAAGGTCAGTGTTGAAGGCGTTAGGATTTGTATCAGGAAGAACTGCCCCCCCGTGCCAGCCCCATCTCCACCAAGGCCAGCTGGGCTGCGTTCAGACTGCCTGACCCTCCGAAAAACCCTCTGCAAACTCGGCCATTTCTTCTGAGAACATCTTTCCTCCCACAGTGAGGCAGGAGCCACGTGCCTGCTTCCGTGTGGACTGTGAGCTGCGTGTTCTCACAGTTTTAAACCATCAGAAAAAGTCAAAAGAAGAATAACTCTTCGGGGCACGTCCGTGGGTGATGCTTCGTGGCACACCCCTCGCTGGTGTGCTGCCCGCAGTGCTGAAGCCGGGAGGAGGCTGCCCTGATGAAGGACGCAGCTGGAGGGGCTGCAGTGGCCGGCCCTGGGCGTCCGCTTGGCAAGGCTGCTGTCCGCAGTTTTCCATCGAGCACTCGTGGAGTTGCTGCTGAGAAAGGGGTGGTGTAGACGCGGTGACCATGACCGGCACTTGGCCGTCTGCGCTATAGGCCAAGGAGGCCTGCGTGGGCCCACCTGGCTGCAGTGGGGAGCTGAGCCTCCCTGAGGAGGAAGGAATCACGCCTGAGGCAGCAACAGCAGCTCCTGCGTGTGTCCCTCATGGAGTGAGCCGACTCCTCGATTCCTCTATTCCTCGCAGTAAAGCTCTTCACCTATGTAACTATGCATCATGGAAACAGGAACGTATCCTCCGGCTCTGCAACTCTGGTGGAATCCAGGCGATACCTGGTGAGACACCTTAATAAACACGTAAATAGACTCTGCCGTGGTGAGCACCTACACCCACGGGGCAAGCATGGGGTGTTTTCCTGGCTAGGAATTCCATCTTTTTCACCACGAGACTCGTCATGGACTTACATTTTGAAATAGCATTGTTTGGGTTTGTTAGGGTTTTAAATTTCATTCTTCTTTGCCTTATTTCCATTTCCTGGTCTTTTCTATCTTTTTTCTTTTGTTTTCCTCTCTTGGGGAGGTAAGAGTCAGGAAGGCAGGCGGCACCTCACCCATGTGCCTGCAACATGGACAAGACGCTTCCCTCTGGCCGGGACTGGAAAGGTGGGCCCTGTGGCCAGCCAGTGCCACGGCCAACCCTGCAGTCCGGAAAGTAGAGGCTTTGCTGATGAACAGCCAGCAGAGAGAGGGCCGAGGGCCGGGGGCTGGGAGCCGGGGGCCGTGACATCTGGGGACAGGGCAAGTGCTGACGTCCCCTGGCTGCAGGGCAGATGGCCGCCAGCTCACTTTCTGAATGCCACCCAGAGGCCTGCATGATCCTCCAGGGTGGCACGAGACTGTCTGTGCCTCAGTTTCCCCATCCACAGGCAAGCCACCAAGGCCACCATGTGGGACTGTTCAGGAGACAGCACCCGGTCCCCAGCACCACCCCAGAGATGAGGCCTGAAGCAGGTGCCTTCCAAGGGCAGCTCCAGGAAGGGGCTGGCAGAGCAGCGGGGGAGGGGCCCAGGGGGGCAGCTGTGAGTGGGCAGGAGACGCCCGGCACCCCCACCCCTCACAAGACTGGGCCCCACAGACTCTCCCCTAGGGCAGCTCTGGGACATGTGGCAGTGCCAGCTCCCCCGGGATCCCTCTCCTTCACCCGGGTTAACACTGGGTGTGGAATGGGGGGAGCCCTCCCGGGTCCCAACCACCACATGCGAGGGCAGGGGGACATTCATAAGCCAGTGGACCTGTCTGCCTCAAGTGCCGGACCCCAGGGCCCCCACAGCACCTGGTAACCTTCTGTGTGTCCTACCCAGATACCAGCGGCCTTCAGGGCTTTCCCTCGGACAATCTTTCCCTTTGGAGCCTGTGGGGGCCCAGTCCAGGGCCCAAAACCAGCTGGGACTGAGAGGGGTAGTGGGAGTTCTCTAGGGCCTCCCAGAGCCTGGCTGGCTCCACCACCTCCCTCTGCCCCCACAGCACCTTTGAGAAGTTCCCCCGCAAAGCCCCCATGGGACTCAGGGCAGGGCTCGAGTCTGTGTGCAGGGAAAGAAACAAGCCAGGGCCCCCACACCAGCCGGGGCCTCCTCTGGGCCCCAACCGTGATGTGCCAGGAGCCCCCCGGGAAGACAGGTTGACCTGTGCTCAACTTGGTACCCCTCACCTGGAGCAGTCTCTGTGGTGGGAGCTGCTGGGTGCAGGAGGAAGATATCAGGGCAGAGCCCAGGGAGACCCCTGGCCTGGGGGCGCTGGGGGCAGAATCCTCCCCTTCCCAGCCCTCTTGTCCAGGACCATCACCCAGGGGATACCAGGGGGCTCTGAGGCTCCAAGGGGAACAGTGTCCAGGGAGTCAGGGCGGCCAGGGTCTGGGGTGCCTGGAGTGTCTCCAGCTGGGAACTGGACCATTGCCTGCCTGGACCCTGTGTCCCTTAGCTAGAGTTCAGGGCCCATCACAGTGTCCCCACAGAGGGGCTCTGGGGACACCAGCTAGATGGGGCAGTGGGGCCCTAAGGGAAGCGGAGTGCTGTCACCCCTGCATCTAATTCTACCTCTGTGAGTCTTCATGACAACCCCCCACTAGTACATCCTTCAGGCCCCTCAAAATCCATGGCAGCAGGGCCTGGGGATCCCCTGAACAGGTGCCAGTGTCAGAGAACCTGGGGCAGAAGCAGCCATGCAAGGGTGGAGGCCAAGGACAGAACAGGTGGAGGGGGAGTGGGGTCACCCAGGGCCAAGGAGGGAATGAGTGGAGGGGGAGTGGGGTCACCCAGGGCCAAGGAGGGAATGAGTGGAGGGGGAGTGGGGTCACCCAGGGCCAAGGACAGAACAGGTGGAGGGGGTGTGGGGTCATCCAGGGCCAAGGAGGGAATGAGTGGAGGGGGTGTGGGGTCACCCAGGGCCAAGGATGGAACAGGTGGAGGAGGAGTGGGACACCGAGGGCAGTTCCTGAGACTCTTGCTGAGGCTGCCACCAGGCCAGCATGTGCCCCAGAAAACTGATCTTGTGACGAAAACTGGAGTGGACTTGGACCCACCTTGTGGGGTAGGAGGCCCCTGGGGGCAGGATAGGGGCCTGTGGGCTGTGCACAGAACCCACACCTTGCTGCGGGTGGGAGGCTGGGCTGTTCGGCCCCTGGCACCCCAGCTTCCACACTCACCTTGGCTCTGGGTGCCCGGCTCTGTGGCCTAGGATGCAGGAGGGTTGGGGTGGAGGGACAGGGACGCTTTCAGCACAGCCACGGGCCCTGTCTGTCTACACCAGCTGCGTCTGCCCTGCTGACTCACACTCAGACGGGTTCATGACAGGTGCACCTCGGTTCTGGCATATCTGGACTCGAGAATGTTAATAAAGGATGGAAAATTCCGTCCAAATCCATTTTCTTGTGTATATTTCTGTTCTTGCAGCTTCTCCACGGATGGAGATCTCCTTTGGGAATAACACAGGGTCGTGCAGTCCGCCCCCCGGCGTTTTCAGGCGAGGGTCTGGTGCTGGGGCGCGAGCGCGGAGCCGGGTGTCTCTTTAAATGCGCTCTGCAGTGTGACGGCGGCCGCCCGGCTGGAAGAGCCATCCCCACCCTGCGGCAGGAGCCCGCCCGCCGCCATCGCCCGCCCCGGTCCCCATGGTTACGCGCCTGCCTCCGGCCCTGGGTCCCCCCTGTCGCCCAGGGAGCTACTCGCAGAGGCGGCGGCGCTGCTGGCCGGGCCGGGGCCGCCCGTGCGCGGGGCTGTGACTCACCGGCCGGCGCCGCAGCCCCGCAATCTGTTGATAACTGGCTCCCAGCTCGGCCGCTGCCCTCGCGAATGGAGAGCGGGTCCCCGGCGGGGGGAGCGCAGCGCGTCCGTCTCCAGGAGCGCGGCCCGGCCGCCCCGGCAGCCGCTTAGGCCACAGCAGGTGGGAAGGACGAGAGGGTCTGGGCGCGGGTCTGGGCGGCGGGAGGGACGCGCGGGGCCGTGGCTCGGCAGAAACGCTCCCGCCCCGGGGTGACGCCGGCCGCGGGGAAAGAGGCTCCGAGTAACTTTCGGCTCCGCTGGGGCGGGAGGAGCAGCGGATAATCCAGGGCCCCCGCCCCGCGCGCCCGGCCGCAGCTCGAGCCACATCCAGGCAGAGCAGGCGCCGCGGCCGGGCTGGGGCGGGCGGGTCACTCGGTGCCCGTTCCGGGTGCAAACGCCTCGCGCGCCTCTGGCTTTGTGCAGCCCGAGATCGTTGAGTTTGGCTCCGGAGCCGGGAGTGGGGCGCAGATTGATTTTTAAACATGGAGGAGACGCATCTGCCGCTGGCACGTTCGGTCCGAGCCCCCCGCCTCCTCCCGGTCCCCACCGGCACCGCCTCCACCAGCCCCAGGCGCAGCCCCCACGCCGCCCGCGGAGGGGAGGGAGCGACAGGCGCCGCGGCTGCTCGCCGGCGGGGTCGGGGCTGCGAGCTGCCCTTCGCGGGGACCCTCCTCCCGCCCCGCTGACCGCCGCTGTCTTCGCAGATGGGAGCAGCTCCGGGACTGCGCCCGCCCCGCCACGGTCACCCTGAGGCCCGGGGCCCGGGAGCGCGACCTCCTGGCCGCCGTCTGGGACTTTGACCTTCCGGAGGCCATGGAGGCTGGCGGGGAGCAGGGCGCGACCTGATCGCCTCCCCCTGGACGCCTCCTCCCGCGGCGCTCACGCTTCGGTAACTTTGCAGCGCTCATGGTGAGTACGGGGGTCCCGAGGGTCCTGCAGCTGGGGCTGGGCCGCTGGGGGGGCCGCCACCCCTTCAGGGACTCCCAGGCTGGAAAAGTTGTGGAGTGGTGAGCTGGTGACCGGGCTTCCGTCCGGGCTCAGTGCGGGGGTGGGAGGCTCTATGGGGTGGGGGCCGGGGACAGGCCCATGTCTTGGTGCCTCTGCTCCCGGTGGCTGGGTGCTGGTCATACTAATGAGTTGCAGGCATACAGCAATGTCGAATCATTTAATCAATGGAGGTGACGTCCCTCCCGCAGAGCCGGCATCGTGTGCTGTGAAAACCCGGTCTGTGCCTGGGCTGAGGTCCCTGCCACCCCAGGCCCCTCCAGCCTGGTCACCAGGCCTCCCCCACGCCACCATGCCAGCCCCTTCCCATCAGAAAGTTGATGAAAGGCAGTGGGGACAGACGTAGGTGGGCTTCAGTGGAGGCTGTGGCGGAGAGAAGGCGGCCGCACACACGACAGGCACGGGAAGGGTGTTTCACCGGGAAGGGGCTCGTGGCTGGCAGCTGGCTGGAGCGGCAAGCGGGACCCATCCTGAGTCCCTCCCTGAGGCTCCAGCAAGCTTTTGCTGCAGTTGCTGAAGGTCTGGGCTCCGGAAGGGCTGACAGCTGAGTGCACAATGCATTGTGTGTGCTGGTAAGGGGCAGCTGACAGGCGGTGGGGACCCAGGGCACGTGCAGAGAATGCCGATGGCCCCAGAATGTGCGGCTGCCACAGACGCCGGCTGGCGTGCCTCGGAGCAGACCCAGTGTTCGCTGTGTAAGGAGCCATCCGTCTGAGTCACTTGTTCATTTTCTTCTTGTTCCATTCAAAATGTCCAAGCAAGAGCGATGCCTTTGCCAACATTCAGTATCATCTTCCAGCGGCTGCTTCACCCTGAGGCTGGCTGAGGCCTCCGCACTTACCTTTCAGACACCTGACAAGGTTGCGTGTCCAGCACCGGCAGCACCTCAGGGGACAGCAGGCCGGCCCCAGGGCTCCTGCCCACCCCCGGGCTCCCACCAGCCTCAGGAAACATTGCTGTTGTCCCACAGGTGCCACACCCAGCCCAGCCCCAGGCCTCCCAGTTGGCAGGATCTGTGGCTTTTCAGCCTCAAATTCAGGCCCTTATTTGCAAAATGGAAAGCTGTCATTGACAGAGGACAGTGAATGGAGAAGGGCTTCTGAAGGTGGGGGAGAGTGTGGCATTTCAGCTGCTCACTGGGTTTTTATTCACAACAAGTAACATTTGCACCTGAGAGAATCTCTGAAAGGGACAGAAAGTGTGTGGTGTTGCCCTCCTGTGCTACATCAATCTGGTACAGCACTTTCCTGCATGTGTCTCCAAGTTCACAGTGTAGATACCGGGGCAGGCTCACCCCATGGCCGTGGGGTCTTGGGAAGGAAGCCTGGAGGCCGTGGCCAGGGCAGGGTGGCCCTGACTCTGCCTGTCCCATTGCTGCGCTCTGGGGGACTCCTGACCCCTGCCAGGGGCAAGTTGACTGCTGAGCTCCCAAGTGTAAGGGCATAGGGCACAGGTCACGGGTCAGATTCTTTGGTGGCACCGCTCCTGGTTGTGCACAAAGGCATGAGCCAGCCCTGGATTCTGAGCTGCTGTCCAGCAGGTTGGCTGGGCCAGGCCGTCCTCCCAAAAGGCTGGTTTGTCGGCCCATGGTGCTCCACAGGATGGACAGTTTGCTCCCCTCTGGAGGACCTGCGGGCCACGTGTCCAGTGGTTAAAGCTGGGGCACCTCCTTCTACAAGCTGTGTCTCCGTCACCACCGTTAACAAGCAAAAGCAAACGTGAACTTGCCTCTGTCTCCGCAAGGGGTGCCGTCAGGACTTAAGTTCCAGCAGGCTGCGAAATGGAACAGGTGTCCCTTTGCACCCTGTAACCTGCAGTCCTGACACTTAACCCGGAGAACAGTTGTTCTCGTGGAAAGCCAACCGTCAGTCTTCGGAATTAGATACAGCTGCGGAGCTTTTGCCTTCCCTGGGACCATTTCCCTCAGAGAATGTGAGTCTGGTGGCTTCACACTCAGCACAGACTCTCGCTCTCCTGGTAACACTGTTTGTGGCCAGAAATTAAACAGAATAATAAGATTGGCATGACTGATGTGGTGTGGTGTGTGGTGTGGCTGGTGTAGTGTGGTTGTAGGGTTGGGTGGTGTGGCTGGTGTAGGGTGGTTTTTGTGGAATGGGGTGGTGTGGGCTGGTGTAGTGTGGTTGTAGGGTTGGGTGGTGTGGCTGGTATAGGGTGATTTTTGTGGGATGGGGTGGTGTGGGCTGGTGTAGTATGGTTGCTGTGGGGGGGCAGTGTGGCTGGTATAGTGTGGTTGCTGTGGGATGGGGTGATACGGGCTGGTGTAGGGTGGTTTTTGTGGGATGGGGTGGTGTGCGTTGGTGCAGTGTGGTTGCTGTGGGAGGGGCAGTGTGGCTGGTGTAGTGTGGTTGCTGTGGTTTGTGGTGGTGTGGGCTGGTGTAGGGTGGTTGCTGTGGGATGGGGTGGTGTGGGCTGGTGTAGTGTGGTTGTAGGGTTGGGTGGTGTGGCTGGTATAGTGTGGTTTTTGTGGGATGGGGTGGCGTGGGCTGGTGTAGGGTGGTTGCTGTGGGATGGGGTGATATGGGCTGGTGCAGTGTGGTTGTAGGGTTGGGTGGTGTGGCTGGTGTAGTGTGGTTGCTGTGGGATGGGTTGGTGTGGGCTGGTGTAGGGTGGTTGTGGGGTTGGCTGGTGTGACTGGTATAGTGTGGTTTTTGTGGGATGGGGTGGTGCAGGCTGGTGTGTGGTTACTGTGGGATAGGGTGTGGTATGAAGATGTCGTCTGGCCTTTGTGGCTACTTTCATTCCACAATTGCAATATTTAGGTGCAGCTGGCGGCATGAGCTCACCCTCCCTCAGTGCTCAGCCCCGTGCTGGTGGCACCACTGCTGGTCAGCATCTGTGTCCTGTGTGGTCACCTGAGAGCCGCCGGCTTTCTGTGATTAGGGTGGAGGCTCTCAAAGGAGACTGGACAGAGCCCCTTCCGGCTCTCAATTCAGGGCTGACTCTTGGTCATCAGAGGCACTGTTTGCTGCATCCTGCGGGTTCCCAGTGCCTGAATTGAGTGAGAGGCCAAGGCTGACCTGCTCCAGCTTGGGCTGGGGGACCCGAGAGACCTGGTGTGTGGGGAGCCCCTTGAGTCTAGCACTTCACTTCCCACCTTCCGAAAGGCCAGGTGCCTTCGAAACCGCCAAAGAGACAAGGCGGGTAGCTGAAGGGTGAAGACCTCCCACTGGAGGGTGACAGGCTCAAGGTCAAGGCCAGGCTCCTGGCGGTGCCCCCAGGAAGGCAAGTCTCAGAAGCTGAGACTGAGGAGGAGCCTGCAGCTGCTCCCCAAGGCCAGGCCCGTGCAAAGTCCACCCTGAAGGGAACCAGGATCAGGTGCTGGCCCACAGGCGGGTTGTGGGAGTGTCGGAGCTCTGAGCTGTTAGGAAGTACGTGAGCCCGCCTGTGGTGGGTTTATCTCTGCTGCAGTTTCACCCCACAGCCTCTACCAGGAATGGCCAGTTCAGGAGATGGGAGGGGCCTGTCACAGGGCGTAACGATGGTCGAACATTTCAGAACATTTACGAACATTTCAGAGCCGTACCGAGTTCTTTTCAGCTGACTGCTTTTTAGTTTAATATCTAAATTACTAAAAATGGCTACAGTCTACTTCCTTCATCTCACGGATGGAAAGCTTCTCATCCCACCTCACATCTTCCCGAAAATTAAGAACTTTAAACAAGTAACTACCAGTCTAGAAAGAAGGCGTCTATGATATTTTAACACTTTTTTTTCCAAATCTCTTCAAAACTTCACTAGCCCATCTACCCCTCCAAGAAGAAAATCATAACACACCTTACAAACGTAATGCCGACTACAGGTCATCTGTGTTCTCCTCTACCTTCTGCCTTTCCCGTGGAACACATCCGTGAAAAGTCGACAGATCTGTAGAGGCAGTTATTATTTTAAAGGCAGACGAGGGAATACATCAGGCTCTCAGGAAATCAGTCTTTGTTGGCACAGAACCAGGAAGTAAAACAGAGAGAACCCGAAAAAACAAGAAAGAGAACCAGGAAGAACCAGGAAGAAGCACCTGAATGAAGAAGGAGAAAGAGGGAGGGAGGGAGGGAGGGAGGAAGGAAGGAAAGAAGGAAGAGCTTGAACCCGGAAAAAGGAGGAGGAGGACTCGAAGCACCTAGGAGGATATGTGTTCCTTCCTCAGCCAGTCGGAGCTGCGGACCCAGCCCCGACGCCTCACCCTCTGGGAAGAAGGTTCCTCAGTCAGTCGGAGCTGCGCACCCGGCCCGGACGCCTCACCCTCCGGGAGGAAGGTTCCTCAGTCAGTCGGAGCTGCGGACCCGGCCCCGGAAGCCTCACCCGCGGGAAGGAAGGTTCCTCAGTCACGGAGCTGCGGACCCGGCCCCGGAAGCCTCACCCGCGGGAAGGAAGGTTCCTCAGTCACGGAGCTGCGGACCCGGCCCGGAAGCCTCACCCTCCGGGAGGAAGGTTCCTCAGTCAGTCGGAGCTGCGGACCCGGCCCCGGAAGCCTCACCCTCCGGGAGGAAGGTTCCTCAGTTACGGAGCTGCGGACCCGGCCCGGACACCTCACCATGCAGGGAAGAAGGTTCCTCAGTCAGTCGGAGCTGCGGACCCGGCCCCGGAAGCCTCACCCGCGGGAAGGAAGGTTCCTCAGTTACGGAGCTGCGGACCCGGCCCGGACACCTCACCATGCAGGGAAGAAGGTTCCTCAGCCAGTCGGAGCTGCGGACCCGGCCCCGGAAGCCTCACCCTCCGGGAGGAAGGTTCCTCAGTCAGTCGGAGCTGCGGACCCAGCCCCGGAAGCCTCACCCGCGGGAAGGAAGGTTCCTCAGTCAGTCGGAGCTGCGGACCCGGCCCCGGAAGCCTCACCCGCGGGAAGGAAGGTTCCTCAGTCAGTCAGAGCTGCGGACCCGGCCCCGGAAGCCTCACCCGCGGGAAGGAAGGTTCCTCAGTCACGGAGCTGCGGACCCAGCCCCGGAAGCCTCACCCGCGGGAAGGAAGGTTCCTCAGTCACGGAGCTGCGGACCCGGCCCCGGAAGCCTCACCCGCGGGAAGGAAGGTTCCTCAGTCACGGAGCTGCGGACCCGGCCCGGACGCCTCACCATGCAGGGAAGAAGGTTCCTCAGCCAGTCGGAGCTGCGGACCCGGCCCCGGATGCCTCACCCGCGGGAAGGAAGATTCCTTCAGGCCACTGGCGTTCCCCAGGTTTGAAGAGGTCACTTTCCCACCTCTCACTGCTGCAGAAAGGTTGTTTTTATCAGAAAATTCACACGTAACTTGACTGACTGCTTTCTTCTCATCTTTCCTCCTTTATTTTTGTCTTTAACACCCTGACCCACTTGATTTGCAGAACACACCAAGGAGGAGACCTCCAGTGAAAATGAGGAAACAGAGGAGGAAGTTATGACTCAAGAAAGAGGAGACACAAATAAGCCAGAACACGAGTCCCCCGCACGCCGGGCTCACACGCTGGCGGGACTGTTGGCTCCGAGGCCGGTGGATGGGAGATGGAAGCCAGCCTTCCCCAGGGGAAGCAGAGACATCTCTGGGCGGCTTCCAGAGCAACCTGGGCCATGCTGCAGGCACAGAACCAAGCTGGCATTCTGGCCATTACATCTGGGCCAAGAAGGTCGGGGTCACCTTCATCCGCCCCTCCCCAGCCCCCTTGGGTCCTCTGAGCCGCGTTCTTCACCCCCCAGGAGCCTGGCTGCTTTCCGTGCCAAGGGTCCAGGAGCTCTGCTTCTGTGGCCTCACGGGGACTGATCAGCCCACCCCCGTCAGCCAGGCTCTGTTCAGCCACAGATCAGACCATCAGGCCCTGGGAACACTTGCAAAGAGGAACCCGTGCATGTGCAAACTTTAAAAGACAACACACGTCTCCACTGCGCGTGACCCACTTGGAATTTTAAATGTCATCTCTGAAAATATAGAAAGGCACTGTTGATAACTATAATTTGGGGAAAAGAAAAGAAAAAAAGGAAACCAAAGCAAATCACATGTCTGTTTCTTATAAAACATTTTGTTGACCCACGGATCATTGCACAGGTGAGGACCGTGGCCCAGGCCTCCAGCTCACGCGGCAGCTCCGGGAGTCCACAGCTGCCCTTGCCACCTCAGTCCATGTGAAGCTTCACAGCTTGGCCTTCAGACGAGAAGCCCCACGCCAGGCGGCACGGCCCCAGCTGTCACTGGAGCTTGGGCGGCATCCTCCCAGCGCAGCCGCACCTTGGACTCACGCTCTGCCGTGTTTGCCTCCTGCATGAAAAGCAGCTCTGACTGGGCTTAACACAAACGGGTTTGTGTCTGTGACGAAAAGCGGCAGACGGGAGGCTAAAGTCTCCTTCTGGCCCTGGGGACGGAGGCAGCGGGACAGGACGCGGCTCGCAGGCACCACACATCAGGGCACACACTTTCCCGGCTGCCATCTGCACCTCCGTCTACCGTGGCTCCACCCCCCGCCCCCACCCCTGCAGCTGAGCAGGAGTCTGAACCCTGCAGGAAGGTGCGAGGGGGCCACAGCAGCCCCAGGAAGGCCATGGGGGGACGTGTGAGGGCCCGGGCAGACCACCCCAGGATATTCAGCACACAGATGAGAACGAAGTCCTGGTTCCAGGCAACTCACGGAGTCCTGGTTAGACTCGGAGAGGGCTGGACACTGAGTGGACCCCACTCTCTGGGCTTCTCTCATGGATCTGGGTTTACAACAGCAGCTCGTGGGAACTGTGTAGAGTGTTCACGTTTATTTTAGACCCTGGATCAACGTCATGGAGGAAAAGCCATTGACTCTCGTGGAAGAATCCCGGGGACAAGAATCTCGGGCGTCACTCGTGCCCTGTTAAACCTTCACTTCTTCTACCCACATGGGGTATTCCCCACCTCCCAGCAGCAGAGAACTCACTGGACAACCTGATGTTGGGATGTGGCCGGGAAAACGTGCTTTTCTGTGACTTTGGAGCTGTTTGCAAGTGGCAGAAAGCTGGCGCCTACTAAACCAGCAAACGTGGGACAACCGGCCCAGCACTGCCCGAGCCACGTGAGGGCCCCCATGCATCGCCTCCCAATGGCGAGTGCTCCAGCAGCCAGAACACCAAGGAGGGGTGTGGGAGAGCGTCCACAGCTGGCCGGGCTGTCCCTGGGCTCTCTGGGGAAGCAGCAGCCCCAGCTGGAGCGCGGACCGGACACTCACCCCCCAGCTGTCGCAGGAGGCAACTGACGCTTCAGGCTCTGGGGCACTCAGGAGAATCCGGACAGAGGCCTGCCCAGTTCACCTCTTTACAGAGCGGCTGAGTGAGGGTGGGGCTCTCCTGGGCCCTGACCCTCCCGAAAACCCTCAGGGGCCTCTGTCCAGGGTGGGCCTCAGAGCCGAGCCTGAACCACAGGGTGCTCTCTCTCTGTGGGGTCCCGGTGTCCAGGAAGAAATGGGCAGATTCTAAACACTCCCCAGAAAGCAAAGTGTCTGCCATCACTCCAGCTCCGCGGCCTCACACCGATACCCGTTCCTCTCCCAGGTGCCTTCGCCCTCGCACAGGTCCAGGCTCCTCCTCCCAGGATGCAGGGCCCCTCCAGTGCCCACCTGGCCAGTGCTGCTCGAACCCTGGGACAGGGGCCCTATTTCGGACTTTGTCAGCCAGTCCCGTGGCTCCCCAGAACGCCCTCTGTCTATGGTGGACACTCTATAGCCAGCCAGGGCCTCGTCTTGGCTGGACGGACAAGAAGTGTGGCCTCAGGAGGGAAGGAGGAGCTCTCGGGCCAATGGCTGCCTGGGTCCTGACACAGGTGACACTGCCTCCACCCATGGCCCTTCAGGCACAGGAGGGTCCCTCTCCACTTCCCGCCTCACTCAGCTGGGGCCATCCCAGAGGCCCAGCCGGCTGCCTCCTCCTGCCCCGATGCCCAGGGCAGCACCCACGACATGGTCAGAGCTGCCAGAGCCTGGCACAGGTGCAGCGATCACCAGGGGGCTGGGGAGGGGCCAGGTGGCTGCAGCCCTCACCCCTGCTGGCACCCACCCACAGGGTTGTTACAGGAACATGGCACCCACTCCGCGGGGCACACTCGCCTGCCTGACGTTTACAACGAAACACCACACACTGGGGCCCTGAGGCAGACGTGTTTCCCACAGTCTGGAGGCTGGAAGCCTGAGACAGAGCTGAGTGCAGGCTGGTGCCCCAAGGCCCCCGTCCCGGGCCTGTACACGCGTGTTTCTGGACTCTGGTGCCCCAAGGCCCCCGTCCCGGGCCTGTACACGCGTGTTTCTGGACTCTGGTGCCCCGAGGCCCCCGTCCCGGGCCTGTACACGTGTGTTTCTGGACTCTGGTGCCCCGAGGCCCCCGTCCCGGGCCTGTACACGTGTGTTTCTGGACTCTGGTGCCCCGAGGCCCCTGTCCCGTGCCTGTACACGTGTGTTTCTGGACTCTGGTGCCCCGAGGCCCCCGTCCCGGCCTGCACACGCCTCTGTGATTCCCTGGTGAGCTCACCTCGCTCACCTGATGAAGGAAAGATGAAACCCCATCAGCTCCAAGCCTTTCCAGCCGGGGCGATTTTCCCCCAGTCTACTCTGCCACAGAGAACACACATTCCCCTTTGAACTCTGACCCTGAACCCTCTTCTTGGGCAGTGAAGCAGGTGGAGTTGGTGCCCAACAGCCTCCACTCTTTCTGCATCTCACAGAAGCTCCTACAGGATCCTCCCGGGAGATGTTGACAAGCAGGGTTTCAATGAGTGTGGGGCTCCCAGTGCGGCTGGGGGCCATCCCATGGGTTTCCCTGCCTCTCTTAAGGCCCATCCAGACCCACCCAGCCACCCCCAGGCGATGAGAAGAGAGGAGGCTAGAGGCAGGCATCAGTCGGCCGAAACACCGTCTCAGGACCTGGCCTCAGAGCCACACAAGGATGCCTTTGGCCAGCAGAGCCGCTGGAAAGCGAGGACAGACGTCGCTTGGTGGCCACATGAGGCCCCTCCCGTGCACTCCCTGAGAATCCACAGACGAAGCCTGACCGTCCTGCCCCAGGCAGCCCCTTTCCCTGAGACCCCACACGAAAATGCCTGGAGCGGCTGCAGGGGAAGCCGAGCCCCAAGGGGATGCCCAGGGGACAGCACCACCCACAGACCCCTCCAGGTCAGTCACGCACATCTGCTTTGCTTTCTCCTCAGGATCTGAAGACAGTGCTCTCCCTGCCCCGCTACCCAGGGGAGTTCCTGCACCCCGTGGTGTACGCGTGCACGGCGGTCATGCTGCTCTGCCTCCTGGCCTCCGTCATCACCTACATCGTGCACCAGAGGTAAGCCTGGCATGGGCAAGGGCGCCCACTGTGCCCGAGAAACCTGTTCTTACCTTCAAAGGCAAGTCCCTGAAGGGCAATGTCGCTGCCCCCTCATGTAGCAAGAAGTCCCTGAAGGTACAACTCAGGTCTCCAGCCAGCTCAGACTTGCTCGGCAGCCTGGTGCCCACCACACAGCCGAAGGGTGGCTGGAGCTCGGGGGAGTCACGCCCGTCCACTCAGGCCTCCGTCAGGGTCTTCTTGACGGCATCCCCTGTGTCCTTAACTGGGTGAAATAAGTTCTTCCAGAAGTGGGTGCAGCCCTGAGAAGCTCAGGTCCCCCTGGGTGGTCACTATGGCCGGCAGAGCCTGGGAGAGGCACCGAGAATATGAGGGGGTCCAGCCGCAGTCAGGGTGGGCATGTCCACAGCCAGCCATGGGCGGGGGTTCAGGTATGTCTGAGGCTAAGGTCGCCTTGGTCACGGACAGAGCTTGGATGCGCCCAGGGCCACAGTCTCATCGGAGACTTGGGCGCACACAAGGCTGTGATCACAGGAAGAGGCTTGGGCAGGTCCAAAACTGTCATCTCTGCTGTGGCAGAACACGGGGGCCTTGATGGTTCGTTGATGGTAGAAACTTGACTTTTCAGTTCTGGAGGCCAAGGTCCCAGATCAAGGCACCCGTGACGCTGTGTCTGGAGAGTCTGGAGAAGGCCGGCTCCAGGCTCACGGACGGCGCCCACTGCCTGTGTCCCTGCCTGTGGGGGGTGAAGCCCTCTCGGGGCCTCTTTCTCAAGGTCCTTGATCCCATCACAACGGCTCTGCCCAGAGGCCCCCGCTTCCGAATACCATCAGCTTGGTGGTTAGTGCCGTCCTACCAACTGTCGGGTGGGATAAAATACATTTAGACCAGAGTGGCTGTGATTACAGGGACAGGCTGAGGCGAGGCCATGGCTAGAGTCACAGTGGCCGCCGTGCAGCCGTACCTGTGCTGGCCACAGCCTGGATGAGTCGGGCCCCAGACATGGTGGTGGTCATGGAGAGGGTCACAGCCACAGGCAGGCACGGCGGGCTCAGCCCCAGGCTATGGCCGAGGTCATGCTGAGCCAGTCTAATCACAGTCTCGTCCTGATGTGCCTGACGCCTGCTCCGAGGGACGCCCGCGGCCTCTGTCTCTGAGACAGTGTGTGGCCGAGTCCTGGAGTCTCAGGGCCTCAGTGTCTTCATCCACCAAGAGATCAGGTTGCTCAAGCTTCTGCAAACCCCTTTCAGCCTCAGTGTGCCAGGGTGACGTAAGGCAGAATTTTCCAGTGGCCACCACTCAGGGCAGACTCAGACGGCCTGTCTGCTCTCCCCTGACCGGGTCCTCAGACAGCTGCCCCTGACTCCACAGAGAGCCTGGACTTCCCAGGGACAGAGCCTGCGCCCCAGGGGGCCCCTTCCACGCCTCCCCGTGCAGGGGACAGAGCCTACGCACCAGGGGGGCCCTTCCAAACCTCCCTGTGCAGAGCCGCTGCTCACATGAAACCTCCTTCCTTCCCCACAGCGCCATCCGCATCAGTCGCCGGGGCCGGCACACGCTCCTGAACTTCTGCTTCCACGCGGCCCTGACCTTCACGGTGTTTGCCGGCGGCATCAACCGCACCAAGTACCCCATCCTGTGCCAGGCGGTGAGTGCCGGGGTGCCTTCGCTGGCTCCTACCAGAGGGGAAGTGTGGAGCATTGTCTTGTTTACTGAATAATATTCCAGCATTGGCTCAGCTATTTCCCGGGAAGGGGTTGGGCCCCGGTGTGTCGGCGTCTTGGCTTCACGCCGTGCGAGGCCCATGTGCCCCACGTTTGACCCCAGGGTTGAGTCCACCACGCGGCCCCCTCCAGGCCTGCGCTAACATTTACCGTCCCCAAAGGGCGCACTCCCTGGGAGCAGGGACACAGCCTGCCCCTCCCGGAGAAAGTGGTGGGGCAGCTCGAGGAGGGACACACGCTCCGGTCAAGGGAGGAACCTGCAGGTGCCGCTGCCTGAGTCCCCAGGAGGGCAAGTGCATCCTCTACACAGACCCCTGGAAGCCAAACAGAAATGTCACTCGGGAAACCCTCCTCCCCCGTCGCAGGGAGAGCTGGAGACTTGAAGCACACAGGAGGGCTCCTCACTTCTAGGGGCCCAGCCTGACCTTGGTTTAAAAGGGGGGACGTGTACCTCACACTCAGTTCCTGGCAGAGCTCATTGTAGAGACCCTCACATCAACACTAAGCCCCGTCCTCATCCACTTTGGGCTGTGGCTCATGGCCAAGGAGAGGACCTGCCCGGAGCCTCTGTAGCCACAGCTCTGGGGCGGCTCCTCCCTGTGCACCCAGCCCAGTCCCGGTGGCCACCCCACTTCAGCAGCCACACAGCCCCGTACAGTCACCTACAGGGCCCAGACACAGCCAGGGGGTTGCCATGGACAGCAGGGCAACTTGCCAGGGATCTGCCCTGTGGTTTCTAGGACCCTCCCGTAGTACCTGGCACTGACGTGCACCTGCAGACAGCAGTGGTCGAGACTCCCACAGGGGCTGCTCCACAGGGGTGTCTGGGGAGAATCCGGGCAGAGTGCACAGAACCCCCCCGACTCCCCCTAGGCTCCCGTACCTGCCTGCAGCGGCCACGGGCTTCCTTCCTTCCCAGCACCACACTTCCATGTGCCAGGCCGGGACGGGCTGGGCAGGCGCTCTCACAAACACAGGGCCCTGGCGTCCGGCACGCAGAGGAGATGCCCTGTCTGTGTGACCGCACATCATGCCAGCCTGCCCCGAGGCCGAGCCCAGCATGGCCCCAGGCGGAGGGGTCGCTGGCATGCACCTGAAGGTGGCTGAGGTCGGATGCACCTCCTGCCTCCTTAATCGTTCCTCTGATACGCTGGAAACAACCACAGCAAGTGCCTGGGAAACGCCACTGATGTCCCGCCTGTAAGTGCCTGCGAGAGGCCATCACCGTCACGTCTGCACTTCGCCACCAAGCACGCCACACACAGACAGAGCCTGCTGGATCCGCAGGTGGCCCCCCACCACCACCAGCCAAGGGCCCTCGGCAAACCCTGCCCACGCCTTCGGGAGCACCTGCCACCGCCTGCCTGGATGGAGCTCCCGGGGCCCAAGCCTGTGGCGACAGCTTGGGGCGGATGCTGGGGTGTTGGGGCTGCGGCGGGCAGGTCTGGAAGGTTCTGGAGGGTTGCAGTCTTGGAGGACATCTTGGTAAGGCTGCAGTCCTCAGGAGGAAATCAGCGGAAAAGACTGTGGCCTGTCTCCAGATGCCGTCCTGATCTCCCAGGGAGCACGGTCCACTCACTCGCTCACTCAGCAAACGTGCTGAGGGCCTATGAGGTGCCAGGCCATGCTCTGGGCACTAGGGCACTGCCAGAGACAAGCCCACATGGCTCACTGTGGAGCCGCATTCCAGGACAGGAAGCAAGTGTGGAAGACGAACCGTGGGAGCAGCCGGGGGTGGGAGACGCCTGCCGGACGCGTGACGCCAGGTTGGGGAAACGGAGGCAGGGGCCGCAGTGGCTGCAGTCCCAGAACCACTCGGGAAGCTCACAAGGCAACGTTCTCCGAGCCCCCAATGCACTGTCTTCCCCTGTGCTCTGCCACGTGAACAGAAGCTTTCTCACTGATCTAACACTGAGGCCAGGCCGGTTCCACATTCGCAGCCTCTGGGTAAGGAGGAAAATTCAGCCACCACCGGCTGGAGGAAGAAGACCTGGGGGTCTAGTAAAAACTAGACTTGGAGCCCGACCTGCCCACACGTGGGCCAGTGGTCCCCGGTCCGCCTGCCCCCCCGGCCGCCTCACGCTTGTCACACCCACCTTCCTGCCCGCCTGCCCCGCCCACCAGGGCCACAGCCCAGCACTGAGTGAAGCCTGGTCCCAGGCTCTGGATGGCTGGAGAGGACGGACGGTTGCTATGGCGACAGAGAGATGGCCACAAGCCCGTTCTCAGGCTGAGTGACATCGTCAACAGAGACAGGCGCTGGCCCTGGGTCTGGCAGGGTAGGCCGGCCGTGGAGCACTGTTGGACGCCGATGGCTTCCCTGCAGCCTCCCCACCTGTCCAGCCTGAAGTCAGTGTCTGGGACTCCGAGCTCTGCCGCTTATACCTTCTCGTGATCCCCAAATGCACACGGCCTGGGTGAGGCTCAGCCCAGACAGACAAGGGGCAGGGCCGGCTCTGCCATCCTCCTCAGCGCCCCAGGCAGTGACAATGACAGCCCCGCGGCTGCTTCCTTGAAAGAAAGAACCCGAGGCCCAGCTGCGGGGCCTCTGCCCCGCTCCTCCACATGGTGCCCCGGTTTCCAGGCCTCCCTGTCTCCACCAGGCTGCACGAGGCCTGGGCACGGGGATGGGACTCGCCAGGCCAGGAGAAAGGGTGGCGCCCCCGGGGCCTGCTGTGTCTCCTGCCGCCAGCGGCACGCAGGGAGCTCATCTGAAACTGCAAACGCGGCCGTCCGGTCTTTCCAGCCCACCCCACAGCATTCTCATCAATTATTGCAGAGCCTCCTCAGAAGTGAAAATGGAGCTCTGGATTTGATAAATCATTATAATGGTGTGACGTTAGCTTTATGCGGCGAATCTCTATATTCCTTAAACATTTATGTCCTTTCCAATTATAGCAGTATTTTACCTGTCATTTCAAAATGTCAGGTTATTACTCCAAAGGTAGCAGTGTGGCCCTGGTAATCAACTAACGCAGGAAATCTCCATAGCAATGAGGAAAGGCGACCTGCAGGGTCACACGAATGTGTCCCCATGGGGGGCTCATCCTATTCACAGTAAAAGCATCCTGGCATGACCCCCTGGAGGACTTCACCTCCTCTCCCTTGGTGGACACCTGTCCAGGTCTGAGCTCAGGGGACGTTGGTCTGCAGTTCACAGGGTCCCGTGCCTGGGCCACAGGGACCACAGTGGGTTGTGCATGCAGGGGCGTGTGAGTGCACAGAACCATTGGTCCCCACAGACTCCCTGCTCCCGTCTCTGTGCGGAAGGGGAGCAAAGTCGAGCCGTTCAAGGGTCTCTGCAGCTCGGCGTCTCCCTGTGACTCCCGGGCGGCTGTGGGGTGGCCGCCGTCTGCCCTGGGATACAGACGCTCCTGGCTGCCTGCTGCTCTCATTCTTGAAGCCGCAAGCCCGGGCCGGGGCTGCTGGGCTTTGGGGGGTGGGTGCCCACCGAGGGCCTGGCTGACCGCTGCTCCCCCACAGGTGGGCATCGTGCTGCACTATTCCACGCTGTCCACCATGCTGTGGATAGGAGTGACCGCCAGGAACATCTACAAGCAGGTGACCAAGAAGGCCCCTCTGTGCCTGGACGCAGACCAGCCGCCGTACCCCAGGCAGCCCCTGCTCAGGTACTGAGTGCACATGGGCGCGAGGCCCTGCCACCTGGGCCCTGGACACTGCATGCGCCTTCTGGGCTCGCCTTCTGGGTCTTGGCAAACCTCGCCAGGCCACCAAGGCCTGAGGACGATCCGGTCCGTGGGGGAGGGTCAGTGTTCCCAGGGAGGGTGGAGAGCAGGCGAAGGAGCTGGGGGTGGGGCAGTGTGCTGGAGGGGAGGGGCAACAGTCCCTGGGGGTGAGGCGGAGGGGGCCCAGAGGGTGGAGGGTCCCGGGAGGGGTCTGAGGCAGGCGGTGCCCTGCCCTCCACGTCTGCGGCTGGAGCCCAGCTGGTCTGGGGCTGGCATGTGCTGGGGCTGGACGAGCCTCCTGTGCTGCAGAATCACTGGCACGAGACCCTCTGTGCCCCGCAGGGCAGCCACGCCGGGGAAATGGGCTCTGGGTGGTTTTGGCTTCGGCTTCATGGTCTCCGTAACATCAGGCAGCTGACTGTTGGTGGGGGAAAACCTCACATGCTCAGGCACTCATTTCAAGGTGGCCCTGGCCTGGGCCTTTCGGACCAGGAGGCAGGTGTGGTCCCCCAGTTCCCAGCACCTCCCCATCTCTGCTGTGTGAGGCCCGGGTGCTGGGATGGGACACTCGCCCCCACCCGCGGCCTACACCAGCTCTTGGTCCCCATCCATCCCCAGGCCGGGAATTCACCGTGGCCTTGGTGGGAACCATGGGCCTGCCTGGGGGTGGAAACAGCCCATGATGGCATGGGCGCAGACCTCCCTCTCTCCCTCCCTCCCTCAGTCCAGAGCCAGGGAAACCCAGGCGTCCACGTCTGGGCGGTGGCAGAAGCTCCTCTGCACCAGCAGGAAAAAGCCGGGTCAGGGAGCCCGCACAGCTGCTTTAGACAGGGGTCTGGCCGCAGCCGTGACGGGGCCGCGGAGCTCGCCAAGGAGTTCCAGCGCCTTTGGTGTTTCCTTTTCTGAACTGAGACTGAATTCCAAACACTCAGTCGGCAACAGCCAGGCTCAGAGTGTGGCCTCGAGGCCTTGGGTGCCTACCTGGCCCATCCTCTGGGGTTCCCTGAGGCTCCCTGAAAGCCTGCCTTGGGCACCTTTGGTTTGCCCGGAGCAGCGCCCTGTGTGAGGCACCCCTGCCAGAGGCTGCCCTGAGGCCGGCGGTCCCCGGGGGTCTTGGAGGACATTCGTCCAGTTGCGTGTGAGATGTGGTTCCTGCTGGTGCAGGGACACCTGCTTCCTCGGAAGGGCTGTCTGGCACTGTCCCATCCAAAACCGTCTGAAGAATTCATTTCAAGGCAGATACAGCCACGTCCTGTGTTGTCTCGGTAAACAGGGCTCACCTTCCACCCGGAGCATTTTCTGACGCTGTTTGATTTTCAGATCCACGCAGACACGTTGCCACTTAGCAACCAGGGCTGGGTGGTGCTTCTGCCGCTGGTGGGGGCTGGGGAGGTAGGGTTTCATTATCTTGCCTCTCCTGCCAGGGAGGCCCCAAGTCCCCTGGGTTTATAAATCACTCTCAAAATGCATTTCCTCATCTGTAATTGATGGAAGAGGTGCCTGGTTTTGAAGACCAGGCTGGCAGCCGTGGAGCACCCCGGCACTCTTCTGTCCGCCGTCTGCCAGTGCGCACCACAGAGCCGTGCGTCTGTCCAGGTGCTGGGGGGCCAGCGGGCCCGGGGTTCGGCACTGACCGGCGGGCCCAGCGACGGCAAGGCCCTGCTTGCGGCCACGGCGCTGAGGCGACTGCTGTTCCTCCTGGGGCTGCCTGGAGACCCCCATCCTCCACCCCCTGCCCTCTGGGCCCCCTTCCTCTGTACAGAAAGGTCTTGACATTGTGGCAGGGGGAGTCCACATGGTGCCGTGTTCCAGCTGTGTTCCTTGGTTACTGGCCTGCCTGGTCACTCTGTCTCCCCAGCCGCTCCCCAGGTGCCTGGTTAGGGCTCGGCCTGTGCACCCCTGAGGCAGGTGCAGACTCGGGAGTGGTGGGCAGTGTTAGCTTGGACTTCGCTGAGGGCCTGCCCTCTCCATGGCCAGGCCTGGGGCTGCTGGGAGACTGTGCTGGGAGACTGGGCGTCACCTCCTCAGGGAGACCAGCAGGCTGGAGCGGAGCCTTTCTCCCCACACCCCAGAGGGGCTCACGATCAGCCCTGCAGGCCCTGGCCCAGAGCCTCTTCTCACCTCCCCCTCCTCCACCAGGAAACCTCCTCATCAGAGAGGCTCTTCCCAGCGGCCCTGCCTCCCCAGCCCCATTCCCTGGCCTACACATTATCACCGCCAACAGAAATTTGGTTCCTGAGTTCCAAGAATCTTGCAGTCTGGGAGGGAAGGGTGTGGACACCTCTCCAGGCAGCATGTTGCCCACACCCTCTCTGGCTGTTCCCATCCTGCCCTCTGAAAAGAAGACCCACACCACTCCCTGCCTGACCCCCCGCCGGGACGGGGCGGCACCGCCAGCTCCCACTCACACCGACAGGGGCCGAGTCTCAGCTGCTGCGCATGAAGGAGCCGTGTGTACCGCCCGCCCACCGCCGGCCCAGCTCTGCAAGTGTTAACAAGAAGTGACGAGAAAACGGCCGTCCCCGAGAAGCGGCTGTGTGAACTCAGAGGACGCTCCTGGAGCTGCCGATGTTTTGAGAAAGCTCTCGCCATCCTGAAGGCCCACAGCCAGGGTTTGCCACGTGCAGCGGCCGCCTCTGCTTGACTTCGTGGAAACCAAACCTTCAAAGTCCAGGGAAGATACAGCCACGTCAAATGTTGCCACACTGGTGTCCGTGAGCATTTCACACGCCTGAGGCCCTCTCTGTGTGAGCATGGGGGATGCCCCACCTCTGCGTGGGACCTCCCCTCTCCACAAGACAGCCTGGTTGGCAGAGGGGGCGGACACCCCCCAAGACCCCCAACTCTGCAGGGGTTGGACTCCGTGGGCAGGAACCTGCCCTCTGGTCAGGGTGAGGTCAAGGAGTGGAGGGGCCAGTCCAGGGAGGCCCAGCAGCGAGAAGCCAGAAGCTTCTGTGGCACAGCAGGGGCCCCATGACCAAGGTCACAGCCACCGTCCACCTCTCCCCTCACGCAGGGGTGTGGCCCTTGTTACTATGACAACACCAGCCTGGGCTCTGCGCGGGATTCTGCCACTTTCTAGATGGGGATTCACCTGATCTCATCTCCCCTTGGTCCCAGGATGAGCCCCCCACGAATGTGGGCCTGTGTGGAGAGATTTGGGGGCACCCTCTGCCACCCCAGTTAGGAGGCACTGCACAGTCAGGCCCTCAGAACCGCCCTGGGCCTGCGGAGGGGCAGTGGCCTGACGGGTGTGTGGTCTGAAGCCCACACCAGGGCGAGGGCGGCAGGACTGGAACCCAAGGGGGGTGCCTTGGATTTGGGGGGCGCTGGAGCCCTTGCTGGCTGCAGCTTCCCTGCTTTGGTCCCAGGCCCATCGCTCCCCTCCATTCACACAGTGTTTTCTCCAAATTCCAGCAGCATCGCAGCCGGTGAGGCCCCTGCCGACTGAATGAGTCACACGCAGGCCCCAGCTCCTAGGAACCTTTGGAGACCCTTTTCCAGGCCCGAGCTATGGCCCTGCCTGGGCCCCTGCCCAGCAGCCCCACCAGGATGGGTCCCTCTGCTCTCCTCAGCTCCTGCCATGCCAGGATCTGGTCATCTCCATCCACCCACACGGATCCCTGTGGGCGTCCCTAGCACAGCGGCTCTGGGCCAAGGAGGGTGCACAGGATGGGCACAGCCTGGCCTCAGGGCACAGGGGACTGGAGAGCCCCCAGGAAGGGCACCAGCCACCAGATGCTGGCTTCCCCACATCGGGGGCACCGTGGCAGACACCTATCCCAGATCCTGTTGAGGTGAGGCCTGGGCGACTGGATGGACGTCCCACAGAATGTGCAGCACGCTTCCTGGGGGAAGGCCGTCAAGGCCAAAGACACTCAGATAACGTGGCAGGTCATGTCTCTGCACACAGTCTCACCCCCGCGGCTCAGAGTGGCTATCACGGGCTCCTGGGCAGTGTTTATCGGGGCCACGCCAGCTCTGAGCATCACTGGAGTCACAGCTACATCTGAAGGCCGTGTTAAGAAGCACTACGTCTTCCAACCGTGAGCACAGGACGTGTTTCCTTTTGTTTAACTCTGTAATTTCTTCCAGCAAAGCTTTGCGGAAGAAATTTCCAGTGCACACATCTTGCACCTCCTTGGCTGAATTTTCTCCCAAGGATTTTATTCTCTTGATGTTATTATAAATGGGATTCTTTTCTTAATTTTCTTTTTGGATTGTTCATTTGCTTGTGAACAAAACACAACTGATTTCTGTGTGCCAACCTTGTGTCCTACAGCTTTGCTGAGTTCCTTTATTGGTTCTAGTTAGTGTTTTGTTAATTCTTTAGTATTTCCTGTATATATAATTATCACGTCATCTGTACACAGGGATAGTTCTACTTCTTCCCTTACAGTCTGGAGGGCTTTATATTTTTTTCTTGCCTAATTGTGCTGGCTACAACTTCCAATACAATGTGATTCTCTCTTTTTTTTACTTGTCAGTCTAGCTAAAGGTTTGCCAATTTTCTTGATCTGTTTAAAGAGTCAGTTTGAGTTTCATTAATGGTCTTCATTTTTCTGTGGTCTATGTTATTTATCTCCACTCTGATCTTTATTACTTCCTTTTTTCCATTAGCGTTGGATTTAGCTTGCTCTTCTCTTGTCAGGTTTCTTATGGTGTAAAATCAGATGGTTGACTTGAGCTTCTTTTTCTTATGTGGATGTTCATGGCTATGAATTTTCCTCTGTGTGCTGCTTTTCCTGCATCCCTGAGTTATCTTGTGGGGTATTTTGTTTCACTTATCTCCACAGTGTCACTTCTACTTTTCCTGGTGATTTCTTCTCTGGCCCACTGGTTGTTTAAAAGTATGCTGTTTAATTCTCACAGATGTCTAGATAGTCAGGGAAAAAAACACCCTAAAATTGTGCTGCAACTGTTAGTATCAAGCTGAATGAAGG